TTATTTGAGGTTATAAAGATTCTTACAAAAGTGACTTATTTTTAAAGATTTATAATACTTATTAATAACATTTCATAAATCATTATGAATATTTGCAAAAAAGGAAAAGAAACAAAAAATGAACAAATATAGTTTCTATTAGTAGAATCAGAATAATATCATACAATATATTTACATAATAATCAAGAAGTTTATTACACATATCCACGCATCTATTTTATCTATTCCCATCTAAGAGTCTAAGTTGCGTAGATACAACTTAACCTGGATCTTATAACAAGACACGTTTACCACCGATATTCAATACTTTGCTTGCTCGATGAAAAGGCGTAAGGCGAGTCAATATCTCGGTTTCTCTTCGAACATTCGTATGTGATTTCTAATTTATTTATTTCTTTTCTTCTTCCATTACTTTTTCCTTTTTCTAAATTTATGACGTTTGCAAAATTGATGTATCTCATTCGAATTCTAAGCGAGATCGAACGTGCTCCTGTATAGAAGCACACAACAAACTTTCAAATCTTAACCTCTCGTGCTTTCTCGTTACAACGTAAATCAACTTGTACTACTACGTTGATAAAAAAAAAGAAAATAGAAAAAAAAATGACTTTCTAATCATACAACCATTTCGTTTCCCGATCCCAATAAGGAAAAATAATTATTAGAATATCTTTAAACAATTACTTTTACGATGTAAAAGAATATTATATTCACGAGAAAAACAAGTCTGTTTATATCTAAACGTAATACAGGAAACATCTTGCAGCAACCAAGTTTCCTTTCTCTAAGCGTTCATTAGGCATATCAAAAAAGAAAAGAAAAAGAAATATAAGACCAAAAAAAAAAAAAAACAGAAATTCACTCACCGGATATTTGTCCTTATAAAAAAGCGAGCTCGTTGACATGTCGAAAAACTCGATTATGAAAAATATTGATTAGGTTAATTAAAACATAATAATTTCCATTATCCTCTTTTCGTTATCTTCATTTGCTGGTTAAATGAATATCGCGTGAATACGTGGGAAAACACGTTTCGTTGCACGTGCACAACCGATAAACTTATTTTTCTTTTATTTTTTTTTCGGTTTTCTTGATCTATCGATCAATACGTTACATATACATGCAACCATAAAATTGATAGAAAATAAAGAAGAAAAATAAATAAATACACGATAAAAAAGAAAAAAAAACGAAAACAAAAAAGAATAAATAAAAAAAAAAGTAAAATAAAACGATATATCACTTGCGATTACATTCGTTTATAAAATCGTATTTATTTATGTCGTATACGCGCACGCGCAACACCAGCAGCAACACGTTTTATCACCTGAAACGATGCTACGAAGGAAAGAAACTGCCGGAGCGTCTCCGCGTTGTCCAGTTTGTAGCGGACTACAGCAAGTCAGAAGGGAAACCCCTCCATTACCGCCCAATGACCTACAATCTAAACCTACCTGCCCCCTCTCTTATCTTTTACACTGTATAAATATGATCCTCTCTTAGCACATCCTCTCTTTTTCTCTCCCACTCCTTTGTCTACCACTCACTCTCTTTCTCTCTCTCTCTTTTTCTCTCTATCTTTTTATTTCTTTCTTCCTTTATACGATACACCTTTCTTTTTTCTTCATATCATTCTTTTTCAATCGTCATTTTATATTAGAATTCAAGAGAGGATTAGTTTTCATGTTTTAGCTAGTTTTCTTTCTCTATATTTTATATTCGAGTAACGTTGTCACATTATTTCATAATTTTATTTATTATATTACTATCTTCTATGTTATCACGATATTCTTAAAAATATGACTTAAATATTGCATAAGAGACACTTTCCAGTTTACTTTGGACGAGGTCAGAATTACAAGTTTGAAATGTACTTTGTAAATTGATGTAAAAAGGACTTATATAAATGTCGTATTAACACATTTTATATATCAATTTTCTTTCACTTTTATTTTTAATTTGGTTGATTTGATATTATTATGTTTGAAACTTTGTCATATTTTTATTTTAAGTTTTATTTGTTGAAAAGTTTTTTCATTAAAAGTATTTAAACGCTTAATAGGAAAAGATCTTGCATAGAAACTTCTAACAATATGTAAAAGAATTTAGAAAATATAAAAATGTAAGAGAATTTAAAAATTTTACGTATCCAAAACTAAAAGAATCATAGTATTATTGATATATTTTAATTGTTTACAAAATTGAGATATTCTCCTTTATGAATAAATTAATAAATGTCTATAAATCTAATCTTTAATCTTAACCTAACTTTATTATTTTATTCATTTAATCTATCGACTAATTTTTTTATTTGTAATGTTCTCTGATGTACTATATAGATTTTTCTTATAAAAAAAGAATAATATGCAAAATATACAAGCAAATAAAAATACTACTATTTAAAAAACTACTATTAACTTTAACTATCTGATTAAAAATCAAATACTATAAAACACTCATATCATAATCAATTGTTTATAAACATAGTATTTTAACAATTTCTTATGAAGTTTTTAACTCGATTCGAGAAATTCTTTCATTGAGAAGATTTTTTGTTAAATATATTTACAATAAAGACAATATGAATTACAAAACTAGATGTTTCATCCTTTATGTGATTATAATTTTACATACTAATTTCTACATATATTAGATATGTACTAAATAAATAGTTTCTATTTTGTTACATCTTTATTATCTAAGTACGTATTTTTATTATTAATCTAATGTATTTTTTTCCAATTAATTATAAAATTTATTAATTTGTCATCAATAAATTTTTGTATTTCTCCCGCCTAAATTCCGGTGTATTTTATCAAGAAACAATGAAAACTTCCAATATTTATGATTTATTTATCATTTTTATTTAATTGTAAACAGATATATATTTTATGTATTATTTTTTTTCATTCGTTCATTATCTTTTGTTAAAAAAAGAGGAAGAAATTTGATCCATTTTAAAAGAGAAACATTTCTTTGTTTTAAAACAAGACGAATATTCAATATGTTTTGAGAATAAGGTTTAAAGTTCGTATACCGGAAAAAAGTATGTAAAATTCGATAAGTCGAGATTCGAGATATATTGCATTGGACCAATCATAATGTTTGGTTAAATCGATAGCTCAGGTCTCGAAATATACTCGAATCAGATCAGCGACGCGATACGTTAGTGTGGTGTGTTTGTTTCCTTCACGTACTCTGAAAGCCGTGAGAAAAAATGACTCAGGAAGGCCAGTAAGTATAGCAAAATCCCTCCCATTTCTCTGCACTAATTTTAGAATCATTCATCGTGATCTTTTGAATTGTCGCTAAAACCTTGATATTATGAAATATTAGTGCTCAATAAAATATGATTGCCGCCCCGTGGCTTTCGAAAGGCCGCCATATTGTATTAGGATGGTTTTATTGATTCTCGAAGATTCTGGAAAACAGACGTAATTCATTGTATTTCAGCGCACGTTTTATTCAAAACATTTTTTTTATTTTGTTGAAATAATAATAGCAATATTACGTAGTATCTAAATTGTATTCACTTTTGATCTAACAATCTTGATAACGATGCCTAACATGTAATACATTTTCCGGTGATCAAACGTGATATCTTTTCTGATATAAGCGTTTTCTTTTAATTATTTTCGATTTTTTCTAAATGATATAATAGACATTCTTTGTGGAATAAATCAAACAATTTTATATATATATCTATATCCTATTTTGGTGATCACTATTTTTGTCCTATCATTTCCTATAAGGTTTTTACTATGCCGTAATGACCAGCGATTTTTCTCGATATAAATTTTATTATCCTAACCTATACGAATGATTACAAAATTCAATTATAAGTTATAGTTTATTAAAAATCGGCTTGATAATATGAATTTTGTTTGAATAAATATTTTTTTGGGATAGAAAAATATATGTATTAAAATATTTTCTTATGAATTTGTATTTATATTGCGCTTAACCTAACTAATTTTTTACGAGCAGATATAAAATATTCAATGATTTTTTTTTATTCGCTAAATTTTTAACGTGTTTCAGATTACCTCCTCCACCTGTTATGTGGGCACAAAGGAGTGATATACTCTTCATTACTATATGCTTAGAGGATTGCAAAGATCCCGTTTTAAAGATTGAGCCAGAAATGTTACATTTCAAGGGAATGGGTGGGACAGAAAAAAAATTGCATGAGGTTACAATTAATTTATATAAAGAGATCAATCCTGACAAGATAATGAAGAATTTAGGAGGTAGAACTATAGAATTAGTACTCTTTAAAAAAGAGGAAGGGCCATATTGGCCAAGATTAACCAAGGAAAAAACAAAGGCTCATTGGTTGAAAAGTGATTTCAACAAATGGAAGGATGAAGATGATAGTGATGAGGAGGGTGACTTTGAAGGTGGCAGCCATGAATTAGAAGAAGTAAATTTGTTTTAAAATTATTAAAATTATTAAAATTAATATCATGAAATTCTTTTTTCTGCTTAAATTGACTCATTGCATATATTTATATCGTATTTTATTAACATTCATAGATGATGCGACACATGGGTGGCTTGGGTGGTTCAGGGGATAGTAAGCCTAACTTCGATGATTTGGCAGATGAGGTGGATGAAATGGACAGTGATGATGAAGATATACCTGATTTGGAATGAAGACCTTTTTAATAATGCAGCAAATTAATCCTCTTAAAAGAAATGACCTATGAATAGTGCACCGTCGAGAGATACTTCAGTAGGCCATGTGCTGTTTGTATTTTCAATTACAAATCATTTTTACAAATTTGCTGATGGCCGATGTAGTAGCAAACAACCAAGTTGTGCGGTGTGCTAAACAAATTTGAAAGATAATTGCAGAAGTTGGCATATGAACAGTAATACAGTATCAAAGGATTCTTAATCCCTTTTTAGTCTGTAGTTCATACAATAAGTTAATGGACAAGCTTTTTTAATGAATTGTGTAAAATATCAAGAAGGTAAAATAATGATAACTACTTAAATTGTCTGAAGAATTGTTTATTTCAGTACAGCCCATTAATATATCAAAGCTAAATAGTTATTAAAAATAAATAAAAGGTAAATAATGATTAAAACAGATCGATGGAAAGCATGTTTTCTTTCCTTATAAATTTTGATTAGCCTTTTCCTAAATTTACGCAAAATTTCTATATAAATATATAAAATTGACGACATTTAAAATATGTACAACATTTTATGTGATTAAAAAGGGACATTGAAACATACAATTTAAAAAAGAATGATATATTCCTTGCAATTTAATTAAAATACTTAACCAACGATACTAGAAGCACCACGTAATGCTAAATATCCGGCAGTAATATCCATTGGCAGGCTGCGAACTGTGGCAAATTCTTCAGCAGTTGCATAATATAACTTAGTTTGTGGATCTGTATACCGTGCCTGTGCAAATAAATGTGATTAACATCTGTGTTCTTATCTTAATAATATAATTAACACATTGTACGAAACTGGATTCTTTAAAATATTAATTTTTTAAATAATGCACTTAACTGATAAAATATTTCATAATTGAAAAATCAAAAGTAAAATATTTTTCGTATATACTACTTACAGGCAGACCAGATATATCAGAATACTTCTTTGCAGGTTTAAAACTTGGCGGTGCATTGATAGCACTATCTGGAATTTACATTAATGTAGAATTAATAACATTGATAAACTAGCCAGTGGTAAAAATTTATTTCATTTATAATATGGTTTAAATGTTCTGACAAAATTTTGCATTGTTTCTATAAAAATGTTTTGCGCTCGCTAGAGAATATTAATAAAATCGTTTACTCTTAACATTGACTGATCTATTGTTACTATTGTATTTTAATTTAGATTTTAAATGTAAATTAAAATCATAAATCATACAATGTACTACTTCAGTAGGCCATGGTAAACTACGTTCCTGAGCCAAAACCTGTTTAAGAGATCTCCAAGTTCTTTTCTTCCCAGTATTGCTTATTGGCCGAAATTGTTGGTGGAAAGATGGATTTTTGAATACAGGTTGAGTTTTTTTATTATTTTCTACTGCTTCTTCATTCACCATCTAAAAATGAAAATATAAGGTAGAAGCAACTTTTATAATTACTTGTATATTATCTATAATTTCTTCTATGATGACTAGCTTACATTTTATAAGAATTTTTTGTATCATAACATCAAATTTATATATGCATATATGTGTATATGTAAATTATTTATATTATGTATGAGTCACAATATTCTATAAATATATACCTTTTCGATAAAACATCTTCTGGATAGGATAAAATTAATATTTTGTTTATTTCACAACCAAGTAAAGCACAAATCATATTAACCATAGTTATATTTTGATGCTTTACCAAAAGTTTTGCCCAATGACTTACAACCAATAAAGCATTATAGTACTCTGTAGAATCACTAAGGACAATTTATATAATTAAAAATCATGAAAAGTAAATTCTATAAGTATATAAAAATACCTTGAAGATTCAAAATGGTATCTACATCCTTGTGATAAATGTTTTTGTATAATAGCAGACAAATTATTTGTACAAAGTACATAAGCTTTTTCACTTGGTTCAACCAAACACAATATTGCTTGCTTACATAGCAAAATTATTTGTTGATATTTTTTATCGGTATTTTCAAAATTTGAACAATCAATCTTCTGCATATACGATTATAATAATGCACAAACAAACAAAATTAATATATAAAAATGTCATGTTTTAAAGTAAGTATATATCTTTATAAATTCATACTACTAGTTACCTCAGTTGCTATATATAATGATATATATATATATTTTTTGATAAAATCTTCATCTTTCGTATAAAGTTCTAATAATTTTTTATTTAATTCATTTTCATACTCCACATACTCTATCATATTATTTGTTAAATTACAGGTAATACCATTATATTTATTTTTATTATTTTGTTGTAGATAGTTCTTTAAAGAATTATTATATTGTTTGGAAGTTATATTTTTTAATGTGTGTTTACTGAATTTACTATCTAAGGTTCCTTGATATTTCTTAATGCGAGAATTCTTCTTATAAGAATTTGATAATTTATATTTACTATCTGTAACATTATTTTGTATTTTTATTTTATTAATTTTTTGAATAATTTTTGTATTAATATTTTTCAAATGAGGTGCAAGAACTGGAATGTTTCTTGAATAAACAGATTTGTCGAAAATATTTGTGTGCTTTTCCATAAAATGTTCTATGTCATAAGGATTTGAAAAATCAAGATTACTTTGATATACATCTTTCATTTTCTCACAAATATCTAGTTTCTCATTTTGTATCTTATATGTCTTATCCATATAGGTTAAGAAATGTCTTTTTTCTGACTTCCCATAACCCAAGCTTTGCATAAGCGAATGTATTAATTTATCCAAGTTAAAAGCCGACATATAAAGCATACTTATTCCGAAATGATAATGGTTTGTTACATTGATCATGTATAATATTGCATTTAAATATGTTACTTATTTGTATACATAACAAAAGAGGTCAGTTTTTTTTTCTTTTTTTTCCCTTTTTTCTTTCTTTCTTTTTTTTTTTTTTAAACAAATCAATGGAAACATTTTATTTACATAAAAATTTCACACACCAGATATATATATACTTTAAATATTAATTAAGTATGAATAAATATAAATGTATAAAGAATATTAATAAAATATGAAGCATTCTGCAGTTGTATTTTCTAAAATAGAATTTCTCAAAATGTGCACGTACGTAAAATATCGTAAGTATAATAAATTAACGTGATCGATTATGGAAATATTATAATTTAAGAAATTTTTTATAAATATAAATACGTCAATATATGAACTCATACGAAAACATATATATATATATAAATTTATCGTTAGAGGTTAAAAATTTATCCGTAGAGGTTAAAAATCTGATATTTTTAATATCAAATTTTTTATGTATCTATTATAACAATACGCAAAAAAAAGATGTATTTACCTTCTTTAATGATTAGTCTTTTTCTATATTTCCAAGATTATTATTAATTATTATTTTTACAAAATAATAATCACACGTTACAAAATTATAAACATTTATCAAATGCATCCGCGCGTTTGAAATGCACAAATCAAATGCATCTGTTATTACGTCATCATGAGATTTACCTATAACAAATCAGTAATACGTGCTATATAGTTCAACGAGTTTGTCCAATGGTGACGTCAGGTAACCTTGTACCTACACGTATGCGCAAAGTAGTCCTACCGGGCTATACTGAAATCCGATAGCAGATCGAGCCTAACGTGACAAGAATCACCTTCTCACTTTTGTGAAGGTCATAAGGACGAACGGTCAAAAAAATTTGTTATTGTATCAATATCAATTTCATTAAATACTATCATTAGCTGTAACACAATCAAACCAAACATGGGACGAAAATTTTTTGTCGGTGGAAATTGGAAAATGAATGGGAACAAAAAAGAAATTGACGATATCGTTGCATTTCTTAAAGCTGGTCCATTGGACCCTAACGTTGGTATGTGCCTATTAAAATATAAAATCTATCGCATAGATATACAGTATTAATCATGTAACATGACAATCTCTGCTTATTCTTATATTGTATAAACTTAAAATTAAAAAGGTATAAAAGTTATACTACAATTTGATTGTAACTTCTTAAAAAGTTATCTAAAAAATAGAAAGATTTTGAAGTTTACTAATAACAAAAACATTCAAAATCAATTTCTAATTCATCACTTTATATGATTCAGTCTATATATGCTATATTATATGTTACCATTAATCAATATATTATCATTCTTTTTATTTTTTTTTATCTTTAAATTACATTGCCTGTTTATTCATACAAATTAATGTTAAATTATAACTCAGTGAAAAAGGATTTTTATTATTTGTTTTATATATTACTTATGTAATATAGGACTTTAGTTATTTATATATAGTAATATACGAATTATTTCAGATGTTGTTGTTGGTGTACCATCCATTTATCTTACATATGTAAAAAGCATTTTGCCTAGTAATGTTGATATTAGCGGTCAGAATGCATATAAAGTAGCTAAGGGAGCTTTCACAGGTGAAATTAGTCCAGCTATGCTTCTTGACAATTCCATCCCATGGGTGATTCTTGGACATTCTGAACGTAGAAATGTTTTTGGAGAAACAGATGAATTGATTGCAGAAAAAGTTGCTCATTCATTGGAAGCTGGATTGAAAGTAAATGATTCTTTTATTAATAATATTATATTTTAATGTCTATGATATAACACTCTAAGGAAATATTATTTTGAAGGTAATAGCCTGTATTGGAGAAAAATTAGAAGAACGTGAAGAAGGGAAAACAGAAGAAGTAGTTTTTCGTCAAACAAAAGCTATTGCAGATAAAATTAAATCATGGGACAATGTAGTTCTTGCATATGAACCTGTTTGGGCAATTGGAACAGGTAAAACTGCTACACCTGAACAAGCACAAGAAGTCCATGAGAAATTACGAAGCTGGTTTACTAAGAATGTAAATGCAAATGTTGCTGAAACACTTAGAATTATTTATGGTGGATCCGTAACAGCAGGAAATGCTAAAGATTTAGCAAAAGAAAAGGACATTGATGGATTTTTAGTTGGAGGTGCTTCTTTGAAACCAGATTTTGTACAAATTGTAAATGCTAAACAGTGAATTCAATGGATAACATTTTAATATTTTAATGTTTGCTCTTTTCCCAATTATATATTTAAAGGATATATTTTTAAAACATGCATATTATCAAAGCATATATTTTCTTATACTTCATTGCAATTTTAATTTCCAAATTTTAATTACTAAACATTATCTACAAAGCTTAAATCATAGTAATGAATATTTTTTGAAACATCCATAAAATAAGATTTAAATATATATTTCATATAACATACATACATACATATATATTACATTGTTGTAAGTTGTTTAATGAAGATATAATAAAAATAACAAAGACATTGTATAAATGTTATACATCATATCTATTTTATTCAATTAAACCATTTGTTATAATAGTGGTTGATTCTTTTTTTATTTTTTGCTTATTAAATCCATCTTGTTGCGCTCTTGCATTTGCGATAGCTACAAGTGATTTAAATGTTCTTGGTTCCCAACAAGCCAAATCAGCTAAACTTTTATAATTTAATAAAATATTACATCTGTTTAACCCTTCACTAAATGTTCTTAGATCCATATCATGTTCTAGTGTAGCTGCTGTACTTCTTGTCATCCAAAGCTGTAATTGTAAGTTAAAAAATATGATAATACATTTTATCATATTTCACTAAATAATGAAATTATTACATAATAGTAATGTATATTTTGTTAATATTACCTCACGCATATCATCCTTTTTTAATTTTCGTCCTTTGGTAGTATAGAGTAAAGATCTATGAACATTTCTAATACAGATAGAGTAACAATTTCTTCTTCTACCTATAAAATGCTATAAGATACAATTATTATTATTAAGATACAATTATAATAAGTAATTCATAAGAGTTATTATGTATATACTATATTATTACTTACAGAAGCAATTTGAAATATTTTACGTTTTCGCCAGAATTCATCTGGTCCTCGGGATCGAACTAATAAATTTAACGACAGAAATACCATGATTTCTCACAGAAATTATTAATTTTTTATTATGTACAATTATTATATAGGTTAGTTTGCTTCAAAATGGAACAGCACTGATCGCCGCCTATCGAATACCAAATATCGATACTAATTTTATTTCGATATAACCTCATAAATATAACTCTAAGTAATTTTGTAATCAGTGACGTGCATGAGGAAAAGTATATGTGTTCGTTTGATATCAACGCGTTTTTATTTTGTCTTGTAAAGTAAATATATATATATATATACCTTCACATAAAATGGTTGGGAAAAAAAAGTAAGAATTAATGACTAGTCTATAATGTATTATATTTTAAATATATAGAATGATAGGATTGCATCTTTTTTTTTCACATTTTGCACTTTTCATAAAAATGAAAAAAATTAAGTAATTTATTCAATATAATAGTGATTATATTATTATGTTATATTATACTATATTAATAAGTAATTATTATCTTTTCTCATTTCTGTACTTTAAAATAGTAATAACATATCAAATAAATATTATTATTGTAATAATGTTCTCTATTTTTATGTAAAGTTATTGTAAAAAAGAATAGATGCAACTTACTTTAATTTGATATATAATTGCATTTTACTATAAACTTTCCTTATAATTTAGAGTAAAAAATGGATTCAAAGTTGAAGATATCGAAGATGTAAACATGGATGAAATCTCAGATTCTGAAGATCAGTATTCAGAAGAAGATCAAGATTTGCTTAGAAAAGTAAGAATAAAAGAAGCACCAGAAAATTTTGATAGCGATGATGAGGTATATGGATTGCAAGATGATGAAGAAAACGAAAATGATGAAATGGATAATGAACAAGCCGATTCTATGGAATCTGATATCGAGGGATTGGAAGATGATTTCAACATACCTGATGAGAGAGCATGGGGCAAAAAGAAAAGAACATACTACTCTACAGATTATGTAGATCCTGATTATGCTTCTGCTAGTCAAAAAGATCTAGTTAATGCGGAAATAGAAGAACAAGAAGCTAGAAGCATTCAAAAGAGATTAGCTGAACAATTAGATGATGCTGATTTTGGTTTAGATTTTATACAAGTAAAAGATGATGACGAAAAAGCTCACCATGATAAAGAGGAGACTGTAAAAACAGATCTTACCAAACTTAGTAAAAGACAGAGACAGATATTAGTTCAAAAGGAAAGTCCAGAATTTCTGGCTCTTGTTAATGATTTTAAAGGTAAATCCTACATATTATGTTTTATGGCACATATTATTATTCTATATTCTCCAATATATTACCATACATTATAATTTTTTACAGAATGCATGAATGAAGCGAAAAATATACTTGCACCTTTCTTGGAACTTGTTAAACAAGGCATATGTCCTGATTGTCCTGCAGTTGCTTTTGTTAAAACAAAATATCAAATAGTATTAAATTATTGCGTTAATATTTCTTTTTATTTAATGCTAAAAGCCAAAAGATTACCTGTCAGTTCGCACCCTGTTATAAAACGTTTGGCTCAATATCGTCAACTTCTTAGCCAATTACAAGCAGGAGAAGGAAATTTATTAGAGAAAATTCAAGAGATATTAAAAATTGAAAAAAATGGTGGATCTCTTTATAATGTTTCAGAAGAATCTGTGACTTGCTTTAATAAAAAGAAAACAATTGTTACTGAAGACACGAAAAAACAACAACGACAAATTAGTGAAACAAGCGAAGATAAAGAATCTGACAATATTACAGATGATGAATTATATGAAGAAAATAATTTATCTGAAAAGGATGATGAAGAAAAATTGAATGTTGAAACAGATAATCAAGAAAACAAGATATCAGAACAAATGGAAGATGTAGAAGAAAAAAGAGCAATTACATATCAAATAGCAAAGAATAAAGGTCTTACACCACATCGTAAGAAAGAGCAACGAAATCCAAGAGTTAAGCATAGAAATAAATATCGTAAAGCAAAAATACGTAGGAAAGGAGCAGTGCGTATTAAAATATCTAATTTACTAATTTATATATGTGTGTATATATATATATAAAGTTATAGAGTGTACACATATTTTCTTCTTTCAGGTTAGAGAAGTCAGGAAAGAATTAACTCGTTACAGTGGAGAAATATCAGGAATTAAAGCAAGCGTGAAAAAGAGTATTAAATTGAAATAGTAAATACATAATAAGTACATGCTTTAATTAATAATATAATTGAATTAATGAAATCTATTATTGTATATAACGTTACAATATAATTCTATCATATTCATTATCAGACTTATTACATTGAATTAGGATAATGTTCATGTGACTTTATGAGAAACAAATAAACAGTTTAATTTTATTTGTTATATGTACGAAAAAAATGAGACTTATCTTAACAATTGTTTTACAAAGAAAATGTAAATATTAACAATCTTTTCTTTCACGCATCACTTATATTTATTTTACATATATTCTTGAAGATTTTTCAAATGATGTTTATTGAGAGAACTTACAAAAATGTGTTGTGTTATACTCTATACTTTAGTAGAGATTCAAACTTCTAATTTCGCTAAAATATCGGATTCACGGAATAAATGATACTCCTTGTTGTCTTCAAGTTCAACTTTTGTACCACCATATTCGGGCAGCAGCACGGTATCACCAACCTTAATACTTAAGGGCACGTGTTCACCTTTCTAAAACAGATAAAAATTTCATTAATTTTTTTTTCTTAAAATTTATATAAATATATAGAGTATTATAATTCATACATTATTTCGAGAGCCAGGTCCTATAGCCACAACAGTTCCTTGTAATACTTTAGCCTGCGCTTTTTCAGGAAGAACAATTCCTCCTTTCGTTTTTGTTACGACTTCTGCTCTTTTTATCAAAACTCTATCAAACAAGGGAATGAGCCTCTTAACGGCATTAGCAGCAACACTAGCGGCCTGCAAATAAAAAGTTATTCCTTTGAAATAAGTCTTCATTACTACACGAACAAACTATCACTATATTAACATTACAAATAATTAATACTTTTAATTGTTGCATAATTGAATAATTTTAAGTTTTCCCTTTTCACAAAATAGAAAAAAGAAAATCTTCTCAATAAGAATTACCACTTCAAATGCAGTTGTAATCAACTTTCTAAGCTGTAAACGACTTTCCAATGCAAAACTTGCAAACAAAATTATAAACAAATGCTATCGAATCGAAATGAATGAGATTCGCATTGCAATCGTTTATAAATGTTGTTAGTAAAAAAAACAATGAACAGTAATTGTCTTTTATACATATAAGAATTATTAATAAATAAGTTTAAAGGTTATCTGATATAAAATAAGTCACACCCGAATGATGATTGTGTTAAAAAGTGATTCTTTGTTTTAATAATAACGATGGACAGTGTAAAAATGAGGCAATATCCATAATTTTCTTTAATTAAATAATTAAAATTAAATATTTAAATATATTAAGTTCTTACCATGTTACTTTGATTATTTCTTGCTTTTTGTCTGATATCTCTTACCGGCAAGCACACTTGCACACGTTGTGTAACCTCCTCGTGCAAAAGACCAGAGTTTACCCTTCCCGTTTTTCTCGAAAGTTCGTATATTTCGTCAGCACTCTAACCGAGCGCCACGTTCATTGATTTACTCGAAGCTTCCAACGAAGATAACGTTCTTATTACATAATCATATGCAATACTCTCATGTTGAAAATAAATGTAGATAATATTTCTTTAATAACAATTATTATCATCATTAGTTTTTTTAGAGCATGTAAACATAATATTAAGGCATAATGTTTATTCTGTTTTTTTTTTTTTTTACACATTTTAATGCAAATTTTTTCGTCAAATTTCTGGATCTATCGTAAATAAATAAGATTCTTGATTAATAGTTTCGTTAACAAAATTATACATTTTGTTATTTATAGATTAATTTTGTATCAGAATAAAAAAACTTCAATTAGAATAGAAAGTAATCCTATATCAATATATAACATGTTTATGGCGTCCATTTTGTTCTTATAATCAAATTGTCGTACATATATATAGATTTTGTTGTAAAATAAATTATTAAAATTATAATTTTAAAATACGTAATATAATTATAATATATTATTATATATAATTATATATTTCCAAATTTATTTCTAATATATGCTGGAAAAGATGATTGGTTAAGATAGACATGTTGCGTCATCGAAACCTACGTACATTCTAGAAACATGAATTTCAACATCAATCGATAAAATAATGCTGAATTTCAATGAAATTCGAAATAATTTTGTTAGGAATAATATTTAAATAAAAGATTGGTCGATTTATTCGTTTATTTATAGCATTATTTTGTAAAAAAGGATAAGAACTTTCTTAATTTTTCAATCGTGTAGAAAAGGTTAGGTTACGAATAGAAAAGGAAAGTACGGGAGATGCCCATGTGATAGCGCCAAGCTCATATCTTCTCATTCCATTCTCAAGACAACGTGCGGTCACGCCGTGTCGATTTTCAACTACTTCTTATAAAGCTTCATCGTCATTTCTACTTAAAAGTGTCCTTCGTTGCGAAATAAAAGGTAAAGAAGATAATTTAAATTGATTTAATCCTTCGTTTTTTGATCGACAGCGTTGAAAAATCTAATAAATTTATTTAAGCCGGCCGGAATCGCCCAATTCGTATTGAACGTATCTATCTTCTCCATATAAGAATTTTATTAGAATATAACAAAACAATTTCTTTTAGTTTTAATATTTTTTATTTTTTCTTGCATATGTAGATAAATTTATTACTCCGATATTATTTTTTTTTATATTTCTTTAAAGAAAAGATCAGCGCACGCGGTATTTACATAACCGCAATCGTGGTTGAATACGAACGAATTTAACGATCAAATATTTCATGGAGATTTTTATTTGAATGAATTTGTAATTTATTAGGGATCGTGGTATTCATGTTTGTTAAGGAAAATTTTATTATCTTGCTATTCAATTTCACTTTTAAATGATAACGTTGTCTTTCAAGCCCTTTTGTACTTTCACACTTAAATATTTTTACAATTTACATCTTTTGATATATTTTTTATATATTTTTTATTTTATTTTATTTTATTTTTTGTTTTTAGATGTATAGATTACCAAGCATGATGCGCTCTGTAGCTCTGCGCCAAATGCAGCTGCAGACACGAACTTATGCTAAGGATGTTAGATTTGGAGCAGAAGTACGAGCATTGATGTTACAAGGTGTAGATATTTTAGCAGATGCAGTAGCTGTAACGATGGGCCCTAAAGGACGTAATGTTATTCTGGAACAAAGTTGGGGTAGCCCTAAAATTACAAAAGATGGTGTGACGGTAGCCAAAGGAGTTGAATTAAAAGACAAGTTTCAGAATATTGGAGCAAAATTAGTACAGGATGTGGCCAATAACACCAATGAAGAAGCTGGAGATGGAACTACAACGGCTACTGTATTAGCTAGAGCTATAGCTAAAGAAGGTTTTGAAAAGATTAGTAAAGGTGCTAATCCTGTTGAAATCAGAAGAGGTACAATAATTATTGCAATCTTGATATTAATAGTACTGTTATATAACTAGACATTTTATATTCTAAAAATAATCTATTCATCATTTTAGGAGTAATGTTAGCTGTAGACAAAATTAAAGACGAATTAAAGCTTTTAAGTAAACCTGTAACAACATCTGAAGAAATTGCTCAAGTAGCCACTATATCTGCGAATGGAGATAAGACTATTGGAAATTTAATTTCTGATGCTATGAGAAAAGTTGGAAATGAAGGTGTTATTACAGTCAAAGATGGGAAAACCCTTCATGATGAACTTGAAGTAATAGAAGGAATGAAATTTGATAGAGGATATATTTCCCCATACTTCATAAATTCTAGTAAAGGTGCCAAAGTAGAATTTCAAGATGCATTATTACTCTTTAGTGAAAAAAAAATATCATCTGTACAAAGTATTATACCTGCTTTGGAGTTAGCAAATACACAGCGCAAGCCACTCGTTATAATCGCAGAAGATATTGATGGGGAAGCATTGTCAACTTTAGTTGTCAACAGATTAAAAATTGGATTGCAAGTAGCTGCAGTCAAAGCACCTGGTTTTGGCGAAAACAGAAAAGCAACTCTGCAAGATATGGCTATTTCTACAGGTGGTATAGTTTTTGGAGATGATGCAAATCTTGTTAAACTAGAAGATGTACAGGTAAATATAATTATAAGATTTACTTGTAATCCAAGATAATATAGTTTGATTATTTTTTATTAATAAATAAAAAATTTTATATTCTTATTACAGTTAAGTGACTTAGGGCAAGTTGGAGAAGTTGTTATTACGAAGGATGATACACTCTTCTTAAATGGTAAAGGAAAGAAGAGTGATATTGAGAGAAGAGCGGAACAAATTAGAGATCAAATTAGTGATACTACATCTGACTATGAGAAAGAAAAATTGCAAGAACGACTTGCAAAAATATCATCAGGTGTAGCAGTTTTAAGAGTTGGTGGAAGCAGTGAAGTAGAAGTTAACGAAAAAAAGGACCGCGTTACTGATGCGTTGAATGCTACTAGAGCTGCTGTTGAGGAAGGTATTGTTCCTGGAGGTAAGTTCATCTTATTATTTAAGTATATAAGTAAATTTTTATGATTAGAAATATTATTTTCTAATATATATTTTATTCACTTTTAGGTGGAACTGCTTTGTTAAGATGTGCTCCATCATTACAAAAATTAAAAGCATCCAATCCTGATCAAGCTGTAGGTATCAAGATTGTAGCAAATGCTTTGAGAATGCCATGCTTGCAAATTGCTCTAAATGCAGGTGTTGATGCAAGTCTAGTCGTTGCAAAAGTCAGTGAAGGGAAACTTGGTTATGACGCATTAAATGACGAATATGTTGATATGATAGAAAAAGGTATTATTGATCCTACGAAAGTAGTACGCACAGCACTTACAGATGCAGCAGGAGTTGCATCATTGCTTACAACTGCAGAGGCAGTTGTAACTGAGTTGCCTAAAGAAGAACCACAGACGCCAATGGGTGGTATGGGTGGTATGGGTGGAATGGGTGGTATGGGTGGAATGGGCATGTAATAAAAAGACTGAATATCCTACACAATTACAATTGAAATCTGTAGAATCAGTTCAAATATCAAGTTATTGTTTGAACAGTTAAAATAAGGAAGAGATAAAGATCGATCACTATATGGCCGAAGAGTCATAACAGTACGTTCCATTGTTTTTTTACGCATTTGTAAACGTTACGTCAAATACATACACATATTTCTGAAAAATTACCAAAGTTCTCTTTTTATCAGATAATTTAAATATAATGCAAATAGCATGTAATGCAGATAATATAATTTATGTACAAAAATATATTACATTATATGTATCCAGTGTTAATGCTCAAACCATTTGAGTAAAAAAA